GACTAGTCAGTTATCTCGGAACTGCGAAAGATACACCAGAGATAAGATCCAAATTGTAAGCCATAAGATTTTAATGATAACTTTTATTTGTTATGATACACATTCCTACTAACTATTATCATTTGATGGTGATTTTGATTTAAAGACATTCATTAACAGAAAAAACACAAAGACTGGTAAAAGACACAACTGGAAATCTCAAGACGCTTACACATTTTGAAGGTACTGGTGGTCAAAACGTAAGTATAAGAATGAACTATTGTTAATAAAATAATAGCAATTTAATGTTTTACAAATTCATTTGATACATTTTCCAGCGTCAACGCAAGCTTGAACAACAAAAACTTTCGAAAGATTTTCAAAAGACATTAACAGAATTTCAGAAAGTACAAAGGCTTTCAGCAGAAAGACAACGGGAATATGTTGATAAAGCAAAAGCGCAAAATGTCCGAAATGATGTATATGATGACGATGACGCAGTTATTCATGAGGCGCAACCCCTTATAAATGACAATCAACGACGACTTCAATTTCAAGTCTTAGATAATGAGGTCGAATACAACGAATCATTAATTGCAGAACGTGAGGGTGAAATAAGAGAGATCGAACAGGGACTTAATGAATTGAACGAAATTTTCAGAGATTTAGGAACACTAGTGACAGAACAACAAACTATGTTAGGTAATTTAATTTAATCACAAAATTCCAAATTTTATTAATTGTTAAAATTTTTTAGGTGGGTTCAATTCCAGACTAAAAAATAATTAAAAATGAATATGAATTAATTAATAATAACCCTTAAAATAAAAATGCGAAGAATAAATATATATGCTTTAAAAATCTTTTATATAGAAATTAAATCAAGAACGGACATTTGGACGTGCCTAACTACTATTAAAATTCAGATATAACATTATTCTGATTTTATATTTGCAATATGCAAAAGATACCAGCTTATTCACCCGAGTGACCCACCCGTCGAATCACCCGGGTTATTGTTTTTCAGACGAGTTCAATCACTAACAAAGTCAATCTTTATGCCAGAGCAGCTAAAATTACAACACCACCCACTACTGCAAAAATAAGCATGAGACAGCACATACGGTTGCGTGCTTTCTTTTGAAGTCGATTAGCACTGCCCAATTCATCAGCTGCATT